GGCAGACCGTGAACCCTTAAAAAAAGCAAGAGGATTAGTTTTACCGGCGATTAAGTAATTTGGACATGTCGTGGTTTTTTCTCATTTATAATCAAATTTATTTTTCCGTTTCAACAGTGTTAAACGTCAGCAACACTAAGTTCCACCACCCCCCCCCCCCCCCCCCCCCCACTCCACCCCAAGCATTTTATCAGGTTGCCCACAAGAGGAGAGGGGGGAGGGGGCACAAGAGTTCAGTACTACTTTAATGAAATCTAACGTCTGCTTAAAATGTCCTTAGAAAAAAAGACAGAATTGAGGTATGATTACAGAATTACCAATTTATTTGGTGGGAGTTTGTTTAGTGAGTGGCTTGAATGGTTGTTATTGCAGATATCAGTGGTTCAACGTGCAAACGTGGCAAAAGGGTCAATTCTACATTGTTTAGACTTGGAGGTGTGGGGGTCTCATGGTTACTGAGCTCGCCTCTGGATTGAGCAGTCCGGGTTTGAACTTTGGAGCCCTTTGTGAAGAAATCTGTAACTGATAATACATCAAGTGCTAATCAATGTTTTCTGTGATTGAACTTTTTAGCCGACCTATGGCTCATCCACAATTGCAGAAGAAATCAGAAAAACTAAGTCTGTCATTCTGGGCAAGAAAAAGGACAGGGATGGCTCCGCTTCAGTTAAATCCAAACCCCAGCAGCCGTTCATGACAAGAAATGAGGTGTGTGACTTTGTCTTTGGGTGCTTCCATCAAGATGTAAACCATTTTCTGCCTGTGAATGTAACTAACTGCCTTTGAACAGGGTTGCCACGGTCAGGGAAAATTAGATTTTATTCAAGGTCAGTGAAACTTTAATGAGTTTTGTATGTTTGATCCTCAGGCAGCAGAACAGCAAGCGAAACCAAAGGGAACTCATGAGCGGCAAGCAGGAAAAACGGTCCTCGCAGGTGAGATGGAAAGATTGCAGTTTTATGTGCCGTCAGTTCTCTTTTGGTAGGAAGCATTGAGAGTCAGTTCTAATGTAAAATCATCGGAAGATGGATGCCATATAATTTAAACCAGTTAGACGAGTGAGCAGAGCTTAGAGCAGGTCATGAGCTTTAGTTCTTCAGGGTATGAAATCAAGTGAAGAAGAGTCAACCACTCATGCCGCTATGAGTTATGCCATCGTTGACGGAATTATCGCGTGGATTTAGTTTCGCGTGATGTTCATTTTTGCGTGACCTTTATCTTATATACTGAAGTCTACCGGTTCTTTTGCAAGGGACACCAGACACATCTACATACATAATTTTCATATTTTCTTTTATTGTTAGATTCTAGTCCCTCCAGTCGAGAAGAAGCACTTCAGTCGAACTTTTCTTTTCAAATGGGTATGACTACAGAAAGAAGAGGTTCTAAATCAGACTTGTCCACATCCGGCTACGAGTATGGTTCATCACTTATTAAACAGCGTCAAGATTCACAATGGTGAGCTATAAGCAGTTTTGTTGTTCCCGAAGTTGTAGCGAAACCTCCGGATAGACCTGCAGAAAAACGCCTTATGTTACGACCTTTCCATTTAACGAACGTTTCAGTGTAGCAATCCTCCTGACAAAAGATGTACCGATATCATAAGCCTAATTTAACGCCCAAGTCGTTAGCGGAGGGAAGGTGCCTACGAAGCCCGGGGGCTGCAACCGCAGTCACATCCCCAAGGCACTAGAACACCCGACTGGCCTGCCCAACCCGCAACCAAGCCACGAGTCCCCCGCGCCAAGCTCCCTACAGACACCCGTTACACTCAAGCCAGATGGCTCAGTGGAAAGAAAAAAAAAATGCTGAAAAGAGTGGGGGCGGGGATAGGGAGGGAACGCCAAGAACCGCTAAACTATAATTCAATCCACAACGCCACACTAACAGAGCGATGAACACACTGCGAGTACATGGGACGACAACACATGTACTAACCAAAAATACCGCTGGACAATGTCAGCCCCAGGGCTCTCTCGACCACGTGACTGCTGCAAACGCTACAGCACGCACCAAACACTTAACAAACGCTAACAGATGGTCAAGCCATAATCAAACGCCTACAAAAAACGCTACTGACCAGACTAGCTCCCGGTCATAAACTATGTAAAATTTCATCGAACTATATCAAACGCTACAGAACGCACCAAACGCTAAACAGACGCTAACAGACAGCCAAGACACTATCAACCGCCTATAAAAGCGCTACTGACCAGACTAGCTCCTAGTCGTTAACTATGTTAAATTCCATTTAGCCATATGTAATTCGTTTAGCTCCCGATTTCAATAGCCCCTAGCCGGTTAACCCCCAACCAGAAGTCGATTAGCCCCCATTCACGCTTGAAGAACGAGGAAGAGACAGTGTTTTCAACTTCTGGTTGGGGTCGAAACGGTTAGGGGCTAATCGACTGAATACCCATAAGCCTACCGCTGGAGCTGGTCTCCGGAGAAAGTGGACATGTCGATGTTTTTGCTTTTCGCTCATGCAGGAGACAAGAGTTTGGCGGCGAAGAAAACCAACCAAGGAACGTTATGGGACAAGACAAAAAAGACAAGAAGAAAAAAAAGAAAAAGCTACAACAGGTCAGTCAGAGGTTCCTTTCCAGTGCACTTGAGTATAGCCTGATGTATTGGTCTTTGGGTGACATTATCGGGCGTTATAAGTAAAATGAGGAATGTCTTTACCGTACTGGTTGTGTTATCCGATGAAATGAAACTGAAATGAATTATAGCGAGTAATTTTCTATTTTCCTGCTATTAGCCTTCTCTTGGTTATTTTATTTTTTTACTCAAGGCTACTTTAATTTTAATTTTTTTTTAGGTGGCAAGCTTACCTGCTCAGTCTAAACAATTTCATCACCTCGATTCCCAAGGGTAAGAAGACTTGATGAGCAATTTGGTTTGGACGCCTTTAAAATTAAAACCGAGGAGATGATATAATAGGCTTGATTACTGTTTGGCAAAATGAGCCCGCGCTCCTTCCCAACCGAGCTAGTTTGATGTAAACCATAAGGGCTGCTGTTTATCTTAACTCTGAGAATCAAATATTTCCCTAGCAGAACGCAATAAAAATCATTTCCCTGTCATGGTCGGAGGCTTTCGGTGTTTTGATCTAAAAACAACTGTGGTTTTTTCTCTTTAGCGAGCTAAGCAAAATGGGAGATTGGAGCAGAAACGCTGAGGTACAGGTAAAATGAAAAATGAAAGAATGTTAAATATTGTGCTTTATTTTAAGTTTTCAGTGAAATAAATGTCTATGTTTTCTTTGCAGTCTTTTGACATGCGTCCTCATAAACCACTAGGAAAACTGCAATCCGCTGACAAGGTATGTTTATAAGTACATCTTGTCTGGTATCCGGTCAGATCGCTCCATGGTTAGATCGCTTTAAGGCAGTTCGCTCCAACGCGCATATAGATTATTCCTCGTTCTTTCATCCACTGCCAAGCCAAACTCGGTTAGCTGAGGTAGCGAACTCGCCCTGTGCTGGAGCGATCTAACTTTTGCTTGGAGCGATCTAACCATGAAGCGAGATGACCGTAATTTCGCTTTCTGCTCATGCGTGGTGGCCTCATGGTTGGTACGCTCGTCCCCGGAGCGAGCGGTCCGGGTTCGAGCCCTGGCCGGGACATTGTGTTGTGTTCTTGGGCAAGACACTTTACTCTCGCAGAGCCTCTCTCCCCCCAGGTGTATAAATGGGTATCGGCAAAGTTAATGCTAGGGGTAACCCTGTGATGGACTAGCATTCCCTCTAGGGAGGAGTAGACATATTCGTAGTCACTTCATGCTACAGAAACCGGAGAAAAGCGCCAGCCTGATGGGCCAGTTGGCTCGTAGACAGACTATCTACTCGTGGGCCGAGTCATTGCTCCGCCTACAATGCTGAGTTTTATCCAACCAACCTTGTGATATTGGTTTAGAATTAATAGATTAAAATCCTGACATGTCACTGCACCAGACTTAGTCATTGGGAACGTACATTGTCAAAGTATATTTGATAAGCTTCGAAGCTGTTGTGTAAATGGTACCAGTGAGCTATTATAGCAACTTAATAGAAAGGTGTGGTAACCCTGCGATGAACTAGCATCCAGCCAGGAGGTAAGGAACACTCTTAGTTACTTCACGCTACAGAGACCGGACACTGATAACCCTTCAGGTTCCGGCGATTTATTGGATTGGACCAGACTAACCTATCCCCTTTTCAACAGGGCGTGTCTCATCTTGGACCGCTAACCATCACCTCCTCACACAAACCTCTCGGAGAAGTTCGCCTTCAGCCTCTCCAGCACAAAAACCTGGTTCATTTGTCACATAACACGTACCCCACACGCAAACCGCCGGCCAAGCGTGAAAGCCCCGAGTCCCAAACCCTGGGTTCTCTCTCTCCATGGATGGGACAATCGGCCTTGCACAAACAAACATTATCAGAACCGGGTAGTTTCTCATTTCCCGACCGGCCTGTCAGCCCGTCTACCGAACTTTTAGCACCATTGCCAAGGAAAGCGTCGCGGCCTCCTTCTGAAAACGAGGCGACAAATGATGACCGAGACGTGAAGTTAGGTACTCCTTTTACGGGACTGAAACCGCTGACACCGTCTAAAGAACATTTTAGCAAGTCGGGAGGTCGAGTGCCGGATTTGAACAAACTGGAAGAAACGCCTTTATAACACACGCTCCAAGAGGAGAAATTCATGTGCAGAAACTGCACGTGCGGCGTCGTCTCAGCTACTTACCTACATTTCCGTAGCCTTGATAGTTCTTGTGCTGTGATTGGCTTAAAGCCTGTAGTTAATTTTTGAGCTACAAGCCGAGATCATTTTCCGCCCGTTTGATTGATACTTTTGATTGCTTAAATGAGGGGTCGGAAGAACTAGACGTTATTTAAAAGACATTTTTAGTTCTGTCGCGTGTCCTGGTTAAAAAAGAAACATGCCAGTTGAAAATCACGTTTCGCTCGGTTTGGGGTCAATAGCTTTGAGCTAATCAGAGTACGCGTGTAATTTTAGTTTCAGAATGAGAAAGACCTTATTGAAGACCTATTTCAGTGTACTTCAGGCTCTGAAGTATCTCAAAGAGAAGTTAACAGAATTTTATATTATCTATGCTTCATTTGGCATTTCGTGTTTGTAAAAAGTAGCTTTTTTATTAAGCGTTCAGTTACGCCTTCAAGGCAAGTTATAAGTGACAAACTGTCCCCTCACTTCACGTTCGAGTAATTTTATAAGTGGAAACTCGGAAAATTGCATGGTTTTTATAATCTCCCTTCATTCGTTGACGGGCATTTGTCCCGAGACTCGCAAAACATAGCTTGAGACGCCGCCAAAAAATTTTTTTGTCGTGAAATCGTTTTATCGTTGTACATAGTTCTTTTATTGTTATAACTGTTGTTGGTATTTTCTGTTCTTTGTTGTATATAACGTTTATATAGTTCAGTGACAGTCGAGCATGCCAGCCTAAGTAAACTTATTTATATCAACCGGTTTGTCGCAGACATATCGTTCATATATTCAATGATAAATTATTGTAGAAGTACATTCGGAGCCATTAAACGTCTCATTACCTGTTGTTTGTGCTGTTTTAATTCAGCTGTTTGTGTTTCATTAGACAGAAATATTTTTTCCTTTTGAAGGTTTCTGAATTTTATTAAGAAACTATTGTAAACGAGAAATGCTGAGCTGCGAAGCACTAATATACTACAAGCTGGAAATCGGCGAGTTTACTCTTGAATATCAATTCACGGGTTATTTCGACCGCTCAAAATTACTGCGAAGTTAATGCTTTGATTTCCAGCTTGTCTACGTTTAATATGTTTACTACGTGAAGTCAAGAAACTGCCTGGCAAAGATTCTTGTACCATTCTGCTGTCGTTTCTGATTTTTGGTCTATTTAAACTGAAAATTCTCACGAAAGTCCAAACGGGAGGAAAGGCATTGTGAAATAAGAATTATTTTTTAACATGCACCCTAAATCATTTCTCTCGCAAGGATTTTGCGACATACGCGTTTTCAATCAAATGTAGTCAAACTTTCGAATGTGTTTTTTCTTGTATTTTACGGGAGATCAGATTATTCATAATAACGCTTCCATCATGGCTGCAGTGGTTTTCCTCGAATAAACTTCTTTGGCCCGGTCCACACTGCCGCAGAAATGTGAAAACGCAACAATCAACGGTCATTTTGGATTTGAGTTTGAGTAAAACTCGTGCGGGGAAATAACATGATCGTGACGCCACCGTTTTCGAAAAGCTTCGTTTTCAAAATGTTTTCCGTCCACCCTCAAACGCAAAGCCGGCGTTTTCAAATTCCTCCGGCTTAAAGAGCGTTTTCGAAAAGCTCCGTTTTGGTGACGGATTAATGTGCACGGTATGCCTTACCGTGGAAACAAAGCTGCGTTTTTAACTTTCTCGGGCGTAGTGTGGATGGGGCCTTGCACTTTCGTTGAGCAGGAGGTTTTCGGGGTGAGTCAATTTTCTCTTGTCGAAAGGAAGCCAATAAGCTGAATTGACTCAAGAGGGTACAGAGTAATGTTTGTAGTCACAGCTAAATCCAGAGACCTGTTTATTTTGGTCTGAATACTCAATCAGGTTTAGTCACTTCATGAGAGCCAAGTCAAGGGCACCTGTGACTTAACTCAATTAGTTCGTGACAGCTGAACACTGTCGGCCAATCGGAGTTCGAGTTTCCCTGATCAGTTTCGCTTTTTAGCTCGTTATCAGCAGGACTGAGGCGAAAAAAGAAAAGCTCGAAACATGACGTGATGGATGGAGGGTGGGCCGTTGATTAGAAACTCCAACTTTGGCACGGTTTAGATATCACTGGAAGTTTTGAGCGAGAAGTAGAAAAGTTGCCTTCGCAGCAAGTTCTGGCGTGCAGTGTTTTTGGACAATGGAACGATTATTGCCTTGTCTGGTGGCATTTTTTGTCTGCTTACGGGTGGCTCTTGTTTTCTCGCGCCCAAGCGCAAATACACGTGCTTTAGGCGACGAGGATTGGACGCACCATAACTTCGAACAGATGACCGGGTATCTTCAAAATCTTCACAGACAATACCCGAAAATCACCCGTCTGTACAGCATTGGGAAATCAGTTCAGGGCCGAAAGTTATGGGTGATAGAAATCTCGGACAACCCGGGAAAACACGAGCCAGGCGAACCGGAATTCAAGTACATTGCTAACATGCACGGTAATGAAGTCGTCGGTCGAGAACTACTCCTGCATCTTGCCAAAGCGTTCTGTGAGAATTACGGTCGAGATACAAACCTGACCAAGATCGTGGACAATACCCGCATTCACTTGATGCCCAGCATGAACCCTGACGGGTACGAACTGGCAGCGGAAGGAAACAATCGCAAAGATTGGATCATAGGGCGGAGCAACGCCAACAATGTCGACCTCAACCGCAATTTTCCCGATCAGTTTTTCAAGAGCGTAACAGGACCTCCTCAGCCCGAGACTATAGCTGTTATGAAGTGGATCGAGAACTACCCGTTCGTGCTAAGCGCTAACCTTCACGGTGGTTCCTTGGTGGCAAATTACCCATTTGATGACAGCCCCACAGGACAGAGCGAATACAGCAAATCCCCGGATGACGATGTCTTCAAAGAGCTGGCCAAAAGCTACTCCATGGCACATCCCACCATGCATTTGAAAAACCCTCCCTGGCCTTGCCCCGAAGTCCCCCCGGATCATTTTGAAGACGGTGTTACAAATGGTGCAGCTTGGTACAGTGTGTCAGGGGGTATGCAGGATTACAACTACATGAACTCCAACTGCTTTGAGATCACTATAGAACAAGGTTGTAAGAAGTTCCCAGAAGCCAGTGAATTGCCCAAAGACTGGGAAGAAAACAAAAAAGCGCTGATTGCTTTCTTAGATCAGGTATGTTTTGATTTTGCAAGTTATTTATTATTTTTTTTTTTGCATGAAAAAAGAAAATAACCTTAAAATGGAAAGAAACCGCAAACTAATCGTTAAAAAAGAAAACCCAGTAACTGCAAGGGACCCCTGCATACGATAAACGCTGCCAACGTAGGATCTACAGGAGATCTCATCAGCCAAAAAAATGTATGAGTGAACGGGTCATTTTGCAATTTATGTGCGTTGGCTGTTGTGCTGGCGTTACATATCTGCGCTACACAGTGCTGACGAGCCCCAAGAAGGGCGAAACAGCTGTCCACTGTTGCGATCCCACTTTATCGGTTCTTGTCATGTTGGTGTCTCGAAACGTTTTTCAAAACGAAAAGAAAGCCCGAGAAAGGAATAATCCTTCAAAATGACGCACTAAGTAAAATTGAATAGGATTATATTACCTATGACTCAAATCTGACAAATACAGGCTCAACTTATTGTTGTTTTTCTTACAATCTCCTACCTTGAGTCTTGGATCGTTCCTTAGTGCACAAGCCTGATTTTTTATTGGTTTTAAAAGCAACAAAAATGACCGAAGTAAAACGCTAACGAGCTCGATTGAGGATGCTTTTTAGGGTCGGTCCCAGAGTAGCTCGGTTCCCGACTAGTGGTAGAGAGGACCGAAGACTCTTGGCCAGAGCTTGCTTCTCTTAGTGATATCTTACGTCACTGAAGTCCTTTATTAATAGAGTATTTTGCTTGTTTGTTGTCCCAGGTGCATAAAGGCGTAAAGGGTTTTGTAAAGGACATTGAAGGCACTCCAATAGCTGGTGCACGCATCTCTGTTGACAGTCGCAAAAAAGACATCATAACCGCCAAGGACGGAGACTATTGGCGTCTCCTTCTCCCAGGGGGCTACAAAGTCACTGCCCAGGCACAAGGATACGAGCCCGTCACAAAAGAGGTGACGGTCACCGACGGGGAAGCAAAGGAGCTGAACTTTGCGTTGAAGAAATCAGCTATGGCTAACAACTCCATGGACACGGAGCAACTAGACAGTGATGAACCGAACCCGGCGGAAGATTCTAAACCAGAACCCGGATCCCCGACAGAAGTTGCCCCCATGGATCCAGGCATTGCTACCGGGGGAGGGATGATGACTGGGGGAGGGATGATGGGGGCTGGGATGCCCGGTGGAGGAGACTACGGGATGGGCATGGCCGGAGGTGGCATGGGAGGTCCATTGCATATGAATGATCAATATGGGATGTCAAATGGGATGGGAGCTCCCACGGAGAATATGGGCGGGGCAATGGGCTTGGGTAACAATTTTGACATGGGGGGTCCCATAGGGGATGCGGAGCTCGACCGTTTTGCCATGATGTCTCCCTACGAGGCTCAGTCTAGGGATAATACCAAGGGGTTTTTTCACATCACCACCGAAGAACACGAGCCTCACGCTGTGTTTAGTAATGATGATGGCAGTGAAAATCAGGCCGGCAATAACATCATGAAGAAGAGTGAGCTCGGCAGGCCACGAAAGAAATAGGCAATTCCTTTTTGCAATGCGAAACGATAGCTTTGTTTTTATAAACATATCCAGAAACCAAATCGGCCAGCGTACAATCATTAATGGGTTGGATTGGTTAAATGTGATCATACCTCAAGCATTTCAAAATCGCCTTTTCCAAGGGCACTTTGTGGAGCAGCAAGGGATTGGATTTAAAGATAACTAAATACATCGAAGTTATTTTGAGATGAGACAGGCTAAGTGAACAAACATTGAGATCTACGGACCATAGTGCGGGTTTTTTCGGGCCTTCCCCTGGTATAAGATAGTAGTTGAAGGCTGGAAGATCTATAAAAACAAACATTTAAGTAATCAATAGTTACAATTGTCTTTGTAACTTCTATTGCTAGTCCTTTTGACCCAGGATTTGTAGTACCGTATTGCACTGATTGAAGTCCAGGGCATTTTTTTCAAATGTCACGTTTTCTCATTACTGTTAATCTAGACAGTTTTACTGGTAGATCTGCCGGGCAGAAAAAGATAAACTAATACCACCGCTTACTGTATACATCCTTCGTAGATACTTTCTATTGAAAGGGGATGGGTTTTATTTATTTCATGACACTGACGGAGGGGACCTGGTATCCAATATTGCTACAGCTCTTGCACATTTCTGCAAGGGCCAACGGTCAACGCAAAAGGCACCGTATCCTGGTGGATCTAGCCAGCAAATTGTAGAATAGTAAAGAAAACTGATGAAATACTGACTTTTACGGTAACCTCGCTCCCAGGGTGTCCTGGGAGCGAGGTTACCGCAGAGGCCCTAGACCTCACTCAACGGGAGGACCTGGGCATAGGAACAAGGTAGACTGTACGCCTGGAATGAGGGAAAACGGTTGTATTCACACCGTACGGTCAACTCTTTTTTCGTTAGTTTTCATTTCAAATTAAGCTATAGCCAAGCAAGGCTGATGATTATCCATCCCACATGATTTCAGGCTGGGACTGAAAATAAGTTAGTATCGGAGTCCTGATTACAAATCAATCAACTGTCATCGCTCAACAGGGCACCGATAATTATTTAGGAAAGCACGATTCACGGCTGTCCGTTAGTTAGGAAAAATTAATTTTTTTGTAGGAGTATTTTATATTAATTGACAATACAAATTAAATATTTTTTATTGGGAAACAGTGAGTCGGAGGACTATTTAATGTAAAGAAATTTGTATATTTTGATACTGAAGCAATAAATGAAATTGATCAATTATATTTGCTTACGATATGTTTTATGCAGCGCTAAACAAACTTATATGGGTATATAGGTAAGTGCGATTGTAAAGGATACGGTTGTTAGCGTTTTTGTCTGAAAAAGGGTATGGACTTTGACCGTCCTTGGCTGAAATAGGGAATGTTTTTCACTCTGGCTTGGCATTGAGTATTTCAGGGCTACTGCTGAACTATTTTTTCCGCATCAGTATTGGTATATTTCCATAATTTCGCTTAAAATGTTATGACAAAATATTTACAAGGCTAAAAATGGTTAAAAATGGTTAAAAAAAAAAAAGTAAAACACCAAACAGTTTCGACATGACATCTTCAGGGTGAAATCATGTGATTTCCCCGCCCGAGGTTTCCTCAAACACACATCTAAAATCACCGGTGATTGTTGTGTTTAAAATTTCTCCTGTGTAGGGTGGACGGGGCCTACTGTGGGGGCCTGGATGCACAGCCTCGCTTTCACGTCGTCACTTGAAGTGTACATCTTGTACGTTTTCTTTGGGGTGGGGCGAGGACAGAAAGAAATTTGGCCTATATGTTTGTGAAAAAAATGAAAGGAGCTCTAGCTCTAAAATCTATTGTTAGATTTTTCGTTTTAATTTGTAGTTGTGCTAAGAACTTACTTCTTAGGGGAAAAAGAAATTTGCCTTTTAAATTTACGCACTGAACTAAATAGCCCATAGTACCCAGGCGTTCCCTTCCGCTTATTTTTAGCGCGAAATTGAATGAC